CCCGGCTGCGGCCGCCCAGGGGACCCGGCCTCCCGCACGCGCCGGCCTGGGGAGAATGCGACCGGAGGTGCTGCGGGGGTCCCTTAGCGCTGAGCAATCCCAGCGCGCCCTGCCAGGCCAGGGCCGTGAGAGGCCGGCGGTGCCCGTGGTAAAAAGAATGTACCAGCAGCGAGGACTCACAGAAGACTGAGGCGTTTATGGGTGGGCCGCAGGAGTGCAGGATGGGCCCACGGTGGCGTACACCTGCGATCCCAGCACTAGGGAAGCTGAGACAGGAGAGTCGCTGTGAGTTCAAGGCCAGCCTGGACTACATAGTGAAAGCCTGTCTCAAAAAAACCAGACAAACCAAGCGTAGTGTCGCACGCCTGTAATCCCAGCACTCGGGAGGCTGAGACAGGAGGATCGCTTCGAGTTGGAGACCAGCCTGGGCTACACAGTGAGCTCAAGGCCAGCCTGAATAGTGAAACCCTGTCTTAAAAAGACAAAACAAAGCAAAAGAAGCAGCAGGTAAGCCCAAGAGAGGACTGCACCTTTCAGGGTGAAAGGCTGAGATTTCTGGGTTTGATTTTAAGGTTAGGAGGGGTCTGGCAGCGACACCCAGGGCCTCTGTCTCCAGGTCCCGGTGATGCGCACAGTTTACCTGCTCAGCCCTCGGGCGGAAGTTGCTGACGCAGATGCTTCGGACTGCAGTGCAGCCCTAGAGGGACCAGGGTGTGATAATGTGATTCCTGCACAGCCCTTTTTTGTTTTGTTTTTCTTTTTCGAAACAGGGTCTCTCTATGTACTCCGGGGAGACCTTGAACTCGATATGTAGCCCAGACTGGCTTCAAACTCACTGTGATCCTCCTGCCTCAGCCTCCCCAGACCTAGGATTAAGGCATATACTACCAAGGCCAGCCTTTTTTTTTTGAGACAGAGTCTCTCTAAATCACTAAATTGCCCAGGCTGGCTGGAATAATTGGCAGTCCTCCTGCCCCAGCCTCCTGGAGGCTGGCATCTAGGCAGGCACCACCACCAGCACCTCCAGTACCCTGGCTCGCTCCAGTCTCTTGAGCACCCAAGGCTGGTGTCTCCGGTGCCTTGCAGGGTAGGGGAGCCCGACAGGAAAGAAGAGGGGCCACCAGGCAGGTCTGCGCTCGGAAGAAGTGGAAAACCCAGCCTGGAGGCCCCAGGGGACCTGGAGCAGTCCCAGGGCACAGGCCCGTCTGCGGAGCTCAGTGGGGAGCAGGCCTGGCCATGTCCCCCGGATGCCGCTGTCTTTCAGGTCGCAGGCAGCCTCCTGCTGCGCCCCCCAGTCCTCCCAAGCCTGGTCGCTGCAGGGATTCCCCACCCCACTGGAGAGGAACAGCCCTGTCCCCAAGCGAAGGGGCTGCCTCAGGCCAGCCTGTGGGGCAGCCCCCACATCAGCGAAGACCCCCAAACAGGCAGGACTCAGGATCCACGGGAGCCCCAGGTTCCCACTTCTCCTGACGGGGCGCACCGGAAAGCCCCAAGGTCCCCCTCCCGGAGGGCAGCCAGCACCCTGTGCCCTACCTGGGCCTGGCCTCTGCCCACCCTCCCGACCACCAAAGAGGGTGACCCCGAGGGTCTCCCCCCACCCCGGTACCAGGGATTGAAGCATTGGTACTGAGCTGCATCCCCTACAGCTTTTCTTCTTATTTTTACTTATTTATTTATTTATTTGGTACCGGGAATCAAACTCAGGACCTTGTGCTTGCAAGGCAGGCACTTGTGCCGCCAAGCTATATCCGGCCCTTTCTTCTTATTTTTGATTTTGAGACAAGGTCTCTCTAAATCGCTAAATTGTCCAGGCTGGGTTCGACATTGTGACCCTCCTGCCTCAGCCTCCCAAGTCCTGGGATAACAGGCACGCACCACCACACCTGCCAGCACCTCCGTACTTGAGCCTCAGTGTCTTCTGCCTGCACCAAATGTGCCATCTGGACCGGGTGACCGTTCTGCAGCCTTCAGGGTCTGTATGCTTCATGATCAGGGATCAGCTTTTGGGGAATGATAGTTTCTTTCAAACATCACATCGAGGTAATAGTTTCATGTCATGTGAAGTTATTTTTTAAATAATACCATCACTGGGCATAGTGTCACACACCTGTAATGCCAGCACTCTGGGACGCTGAGGCAGGAGGATTGCAAGTTCAAGCCCAGTCTAGGAAACTTAGCAAAATTGTCTCAAAATTAAATAAATAAATAAAAATAAAGGGCTGGGACGGAGCTCAGTGCAAGGGCCCTGGGTTCAGACCCCAGTCCTGCGAATAAAATGTTATTGCTCTTTACACCCCTCTGTTACCTATTTATCTCCAATTTAGTGAGCCAGAAAGCTCCTGACTCTGAAAAGCCAGTCAGGCGGCAGGGACTCGGGCTCCGGCCAGCCTCGCCCCAGGCAGGCGCTGTCCTTTTGCCCCGGCTCCCACCCTGGCCGGGTGCCTGGGACCTTGGGCAGAGCCTCCCCCAGCCAGAAGTGCCCCGGGTCACCACGCGGTCAGGGCCTGCTCCTCCGCAGCGGCGGCAGCACTGCCTGCCCCTCCAGGTAGAGATAAACGCTGGGCAGTGGGAGGCGCATCCCAGCTCAAAGTGCCGTGCAGGGCGCCTAGGAGACCCAGGAAGTGAGCCAAGTGAGAAAAGTGGAAATTGTTCCTCTCCTTCCCTCCCCTCCTCTCGCCTCCCCCTCCTCCACTTCCCCCTTTTTCTTTTTTCTTCTCTTTTCTTTTCTTTCTTCTTTTCTTCAGACAGGGCCCTGCTGTGTAGCCCACGTTGGCCTCAAACTCAAGGCAATTCATGGGGGGTTGGGGTTTAGCTCAGCGGCACAGCACCTGCCTGGCAAGCGCAAGGTCATGAGTTCAATTCCCGGCACCAGAGGAAAAAAAAAAAAAAAAAACAAGGCGATTCTCCTGCCTCAGCCTCTCTAGTACTGGGATGACAGGAGCAGGAGTAAGTCTGCCTCCCAGCGTGACAGTCCCAGCCCCACTCCAAGCCCAGAACAGGTGTGACTGCTGAGTAGGGTCAGGAACACCCCAGTGTGCGAAGAGGTGGCCTCAAGCAGGAATTACTCCCAAAGCTGACCAGGTCAGGACCTCAGATGGCACATAAGCCAGCAACAGAGCCAGCGTTTGTCAGCTGGGCCGTCTCTGTTCTGGAACAATTACCTAGAAAGAGAGCGTTTTACATATAAGACAGGGTTCATTTCTTTTGAAGCCCCTGAAATTACCTAATCTAGCACAATAACAAGCCAGAAGGCAGGCATGGGGGGCACACGATGAAAAAAAACTAGCACTCAGGAGGCTGAGGCAGGAGGATCAAAGTGAGTTCAAGGCCAGCCTGGGCTATCTAATGAGACCTTGTCTCAAAAAAGAAGAATAACAAAAAATCAAAAAATGTAGAAATTCAGCCAGGCATGGTGGTGCATGCCGGTAATCACAGCACTCGCGCTTGAGAGGCTGAGGCAGGAAGATCACTGCCAGTTTAAGGACAGCCTGAACTACTTAGCAAGACCCTAAAAAAAAGTAGGAATTCAAAACTTGGGTGTGGTGTACTTCTAAAAGAACAGGTCAAGGCTGGCAAGACTGGCGGGGTGTCAGAGTGCCGGGTAGCAGGCTGTCCACACCGCCCCCGGGGCAGTTGCAATATGCACTCTGAGAAGTCCGCAGCACGGAAGTTGGAAGGAACAGGCTCAGCCCTTGCCTCCTGCTCCTGACTTCAAGCTCACTCCCTTCCCCCGCCAGCCGCTGTGACCTTGCTGTCCACCCTCAGCCATCAGGAGCGGCACCTGCTCGGCCAGTCCCTCAGGCCAGCGCCAGCGTTGACGCAGGTAACAGGGAGGTGCTGGGACACTGCCACCCAGGGAGGAATGGGCCGAAATACCTAGTGGGTTATTGGCCTGGAAAATGCGTGGGACGAAGACGGCAAACTTGCAAATAAAATGTCCATGGGCGCATAGCGTAATTCTTCAGATAATGCAAGCCAGCAGCTGGGAAATAAGCTGGGGTTTTCATCTCAGGTGCTGTGTGGTTACTAAACGTTAGCACCCAAGGGACAGCTCTAAAGCGGATTAAGAGCTTTCGAGCCTGGGTTTGGTGTTTTGTCTGGTCCCACTTCTTACCATCTGTTTTTTGGAGGGGAGGCAGGGCTCTGTTTTTGAGTTTTTGTTTTGTTTTGTTTTCTGAGACAGGGTCTCGCTGTGTAGTGCAGGTTGGCCTTGAACTCACTGTTTAGCCCAGGTTGGCCTTGAACTCGCTGTGATCCTCCTGCCTCAGCCTCCCAAGTACTGGGATTACAGGTGTGCGCCACCACATCCAGCTCTTTCACTGAGCTTTTGAGTGACTGCTGCTCATAAATAAATGCCAACATTTAAATGTTTCATTGAAAAACCCATGGTGTTTATTCTTTCTCTTGCAAATATTTTTTTTCTTGCAAATGTTTTATACTAGTTTTTTTTAATGCCATCTTCTAAAATTCTATTTTGATGATCCAAGTTTTTTCTTTTTTCCTTTTCTTAATTTTTGCACTATATTGTTTTTGCATGCTAATTTTTTTTTTTTTTCCCCAGACAGGATCTCTCTATGCAGTTCAGGCTGACCATAAGCTCACTTTGTAGCCCAGGCTGGTCTCGAGCTCCCAACGATCCTCTTGCCTCAGCCTCCCGAGTGCTAGGATTAGAGGCGTGCGCCACCACGCCCCGCTATATGCTAATTTTTTAACTAAATTTTTATTTTGATTGGTACACGTTTGTAGGACATAACGATGGCATTCCTCGTGGGATCATTTTTTCCCCAAACATCCACTCATACTAGGGAAATGAATTCAGCGCCTTAATCCCATCTGACACAATTCATTCCGAAGGAGCTGAGAAAGAACAGCGTATTCGCCTTGGTCTATGGGGTCTGGAGGACCTTGCTCCCCACCAACCCCGGGGCGTGTAAAATGTCTCACTGCAGAACACTGCGCATGTCCGCAGCTCGCCGGCACCATGAGGGTGACGTTCGCCAGCGCCGCGCTGGTCCTGGCCGTGGCCGCGTGGGCCACCGCCGCTGTGGGTGAGTGACACGGCCGGCTGTCCCTCTGCCTCCCGGCCTCCGGCTCGCGGGGACGTAGAGGCTGCCGTGCCCTTCAGTTTTATTAAACCCTAGTTCCTCATGTGACAGATGAAACTCAAATCCAGAGAAAAAAAGAATTCACACCGTTTCTCGTTCTTTTCTTTTTTGAGACAGGGTCTCACTGCGTGGTTCAGGCTGGCTTTGAACTGTGCAGCGCAGGCTCAAACGTGCAGCAACCCCCCTGTCTCGGCCTCCCGAGTGCTGGGGTCACAGGCCTAGGTCACCACGCCTGGCCTGCAGGTGTCCCCTCCAGCCTACTCCCTGCTGTGTCCCCCACGCTCCAAGTCCTGGCCCGGGCCACAGCGCTGTGTGGTCACAGGGCCCACGCCGCAGCCGAGGTCCGGGGGCATCCGCCCCGCCGCTGCGTGCGCGCAGCCGCCTGTGCGACCTGGCCTCAGCGGGCCGAGGGGACCCGCAGGCTTGGGACGCAACCCTGCGCTCGCTTTTCTGCACGGCGATGAGCATGGGTGCCCTGCGTGTCCGCGCTTGCCAGACACCGAGCGACAGGCTGGTTGTGTGGTGGGAATGGGCCCGGCCTCCGTGTGACACGACCATGGTGGAAGACACACAGATACCAGCATCCCAGCCGGGAGGCTGAGGCAGGAGGATTGCAAATTCCAGCCAAGCCTGGGCATCTTAACAACTTAGTGAGACCCTGTCTCAAAATTTAAAAAATGTAAAAGGGCTGGGGATGCAGCTCAGTGCAGAAACCCTGGGCTCAGTCCCTAGTGCTGCACACGCAAAGAGGGCCACTTCCACGCTGTGTGGATTATAGCTCATGAAGCTGGTAAGAGCTGATGACAATAGCATACAGAAAATTCTGTGGCACAATGTAACTGTATTACGTGATTGCATAATATAATGCATATATATGTCAGTATAGTGTAAGGACCTGTAGGATTGAATAGATAAGCCTTAAAGAAACACAGCATCGGGGAGTGGGGAGATAGCTCAGGGGCATAAGCGCTTGCCTGGCAAGCACAAGGTCGTGAGTTTGATCCCTGGTACCCAAAAAAAGGAAACCAAAAAAAAAAAGAAAGCATCTTTTAAGGCATCTCAATGTAACTATTTCATGGGAATTTATAACCTGTAATGCAATTTCTAAAACAATTAAGAGGGCTGGTCGTGAACCTCCCCACTCCTTTAGTGGCAGCTGAAGGCGAGAGGAGCCCCAGGCCTCCCGGTGGGATTGGGGGCCCCCGGCTCCCTCATGGCCGAGGGTGGCTGAGGTCCCTGCTCCTGTCTTGCAGACTTCCTGCTGCCCATGGCGTCCACAGGGTCGCTCCTGAAGGACACGAAGGTGAGCCCTGGTCCCGTCAGCCCGGCTTCCTCTGGGGGCGGGAGTGGGGCGGGGACACCCATGGGAACACTGCGTCCCCAGCCCCTCCCTCCAGTGCTCACACAGCTCTCCTGGGAGGGACAGGCGTCATCTGCTACCACTCAGTGGGCCGGGACGCCCGGGCTCAGCTTCAGCTTGGTCCGACGGGCCGGGGACACTTTTTCACTCTGCAGTGACATCCCAGGACGCACATCCAGCTCCCACGCAGCCAGCCCCGCGGGCGTCTGTCTCGTCACGTTCCTTCCCCTTCCCAGCCCTGCTGCAGTCGGTCTGCGATCGTGATCGGCGGATCAGCGGATCAGCTGAGCGCCTCGCACCTGGGCAGCGCCTCCGAGTGGCTGCTGTCACTCTGAGACCCAGCCGTCGCGCTCTGCCACCAGGCAGGGACCCTGTGGGACCCTGGGGCGTGCAGGCTGTGCACGAGGCCTCGCTGACGTAGCTGCGTCGGGGTCAGCACCAGGATGAACCCCGTGGGCCCCCAATCAGGGTCCCTTCCCCTCCTCCCAGGGACAGGGGCCCAGGGGCCCCGAGGAGCCGCTAACAGACTCCGCGTCTCCCGGCAGGCGGAGTGCGCCCGGAATATAAAGAGGTGCTGGTTCCTCTCCTTCCTCAAGCCCAGCGAGCCCATCTGTGCCAGTGACCAGGGCACCTACAGTGGCGAGTGCCACCTCTGCTCCAGAGTCCTGTGAGTGCTCTCCTTTGCCCTCGCTCCTCTCCGGCTGGGGACAGAAGGGGGTCCAGGGAGGGGTGACTGCCTCAGCCCACTTCCTATATCAGCTGGTTGGATCTCCCCTGAGGGACGACTCTGCTGGTGGCCCCCCAGGGCCTCAGTCCATCTCTGTGTCCCCAGAGGGACCTGTGACCCTCTTCAGACAGTGCAGAAAAAGAAAGCCACTGAGGTGACCTCACCACGCAGGCCAGGTCACAAGCAAGCAAGTGGAGGGTGCTAAGGAGCAGGGAGCGGCAGCGTTCAGATCACTCCACCGTACAAGCATCCCCGCGGGCCCCACAGGACCACGGGCAACAGGAGGAGAGGCTGGGCTTGTGCTTTTATGGGTTTTGTTTTGTTTTGTTTTGTTTTTGTCTTTTTGAGACAGGGTCTCCCTATGCAGTTCACTCTGGCCTTGAGCTCACTTTGTAGCCCAGGCTGGTCTCGAACTTGCAATGATCCTCCTGCCTCAGCCTCCTGAGTGCTGGGATTACAGGCATGGGCCACCATGCCCAGCTAGACCTCTGTCTTTTTTTATTTTTTATTTTTTTAATAAAAGAAGGAAAACATTAACAGATAGACAACCTTTTACAAAATAGCAAAAGAACAATACAGACAAGACAGAGTTACAAACAAAGTGGTAGGAAATTAACAATGCTTGTTGTACTACATATTGATATCTTCAAAGTGGTTTCTCATGAACAGATAGAGACATGCAATATTGATCAATCAAGGACTCACTGACAGTTTCTTTCAGCAAAGAAATGGAAGACAGTAGAATAACTATGTTAACTATCCTGTACATACATACACACAAAATTTCTCCTTCCTTTCCTTCTCTTTTCCCACATCCCAGTTGTCCTTTACCCTTGAGCGTTTTCCTATCATTTCACAATGTCTATCATATCTCTGAGTTTAAATTAACTCTTTCAGGTTTTACACTAGTGAGACAATGCAGTGCTTGCACATGCAAGTCTGATTTATTTCACTATGAGTATGGTCTTTAGTTGTGACCATTTACCTATAAAAGCCTCAAATTTATCTTTCTTAGACCTCTGTCCTATCTGTTCTTTCTTTCCTTTTTTTTTTTTTTTTTTTTTTTTTTTTTTTTTTTTTTTTTTTTTTTTTTTTCCAGTACCAGGAATCGAACTCCCGACCTTGTGCTTGCCAGGCAGGCGCTGTGCCGCTGAGCTAAAACCCCAGCTCCTTCTTTCTTTCTTTTTGGTGGTTACTGGACATTGAACCAGGGTCTCTCGAATGCTAGGCAAGCACTCTGCCACTGAGCTGCATCCCAGGTCCTCTTTGTATTATTTTGGGATGCTAAATTGTCTCAGCTGGCCTTCAACTTGTGATCCTCCTGCCTCAGCCTCTTACCTCAGTCTAGAATTAAAAGATGCACCACTTAGAGCAGGCAGTGTTGTTGTTCTAACAGTGTGAATGCTTCCAAACCATGAGCACAGCATATCTTTTTCAGGTATTTAATTTCCTTCAGCAGTGTCTTACAGTTTTCAACATACAAGTGTTTGGCCTGCTGGATTAAATCTATTACAAGAGATTTCTTTTTGGATGCTACTGTAAGTAGGATTATTGTCCCCATCTTAAGGGCTATTTTTTTGTTGTTGTTGTTTGTTTTTTGTTTTGTTCTTGGTACGAGGAATCAAACTCAGGACCTTGAGCTTGCTAGACAGGCACTGTACCACTCAGCTATATCCCCAGCCAAGTCCCCATCTTATTTTCATATCATTCTTTGTTCATGTATAGAAATAAAACTGATTTGGGAATGTTATAGGGGTTTTGGTTTGGGTTTTATGTTGTACTGGGGACTGAACCCAGGGTCTTAACATTGAGCTACCTCTCCAGCCCCTCCCCCGCTTTTTTTAGTACAGAGAAACGAACTCAGGACCTTGCCACTTGCCAGGCAGGCACTTGAGCTGCTGAGCTATATCCCCGGCTCCAATCCAGCCCTTTTATTAGTTCTTTATTTCAAGAGAGGGTCTCCTTAAATTGCCCAGGTTGGGCTTGAACTTAAAATTCTCTTGCATCAGCCTCCCAGAAGTCATAGTTTTGATATTGATTCTTTAGCATTTTCTATATGCAGCATCATGTCATCTTTGAGTATAACTTACTCCTTTCTAGTTTAGATGTCTTGTTTCTTTTTCTTGCCTAATTGCTATGTCTAGACTCTCCAATGCAATTAAATATCAGCAGCCACAGTAGATGTCTTTGTCTTGCTCCTGATCTTACAAATCTTCCAGTTTTTCACTACCAAATATGAAATTAGCTGTGGAGTTTTTTTACGTTTTCTTTATCATGTTAAAGAAGTTCTCTCAAAGTCTTGGTTTTCTGGCTGTTTTTGTTACAAAAGAGTGTCGAGTTTGATTATTGTGCCTGT